ACGGGCAGAGTGTAACGGGCAGAGTGTAACGGGCAGAGTGTAACGGGCAGAGTGTAACGAGCAGAGTGTAACGAGCAGAGTGTAACGAGCAGAGTGTAACGAGCAGAGTGTAACGGGCAGAGTGTAACGGACAGAGTGTAACGGGCAGAGTGTAACGGGCAGAGTGTAACGGACAGAGTGTTACGGGCAGAGTGTTACGGGCAGAGTGTAACAGGTGGAGTGCAACGGTGTTGTTTGAAGAGCATTAATTATTTAGAGCAATTTTACCATAACTTCTATAGCGCAACATATCATAACGTATCACAACATAACGCAACATATCACAACATGAAGTTCTCAACATAACCATGATCATGAAGACCATGCTTAGCCCCAGCACTGTAACCTTTACATATAAAATTCTAACCCGTTAACCGTACGTGACACCCCCCTCCCCCCTAACCTGTCCCTCCCTCACCCTAACCTGTCCCTCCCTCACCCCTCCCCACCTCCTGCCCTCCATGGGTGGGCTCGTGGGTTTTGTTAATAAAAAAATTTGGCCTATGCCAGGGTATAGGCCTCTGCCCCGTACCCTGGCGCAGTATAGTGTGGGCACTGCAGTGAGTTGTAGTTGTAGCAGTCACTGCAGTTGTAGCAGTCACTGCAGTTGTAGCAGTCACTGCAGTTGTAGCAGTCAGTTGTAGCAGTCACTGCAGTTGTAGCAGTCACTGCAGCACTGCAGTTGTAGCAGTCACTGCAGTTGTAGCAGTCACTGCAGTTGTAGCAGTCAGTGCACTTTTGGCAGTCATTGCAGTGGTCTATGGTGCAGTAGCTGTGAAAGTAACTACTGCATAATTTCAGTTGTAACAGGTACTACGATAATAAAATTTTGGTAGCACTGCAGGTCTGGCAGTTACTTCGATCAGTTGTTCCTGCTGTAGCAGTTACTGCACGTATTATCGAAGCAGTAGTTATAACTTGCATAATTTATTGCAGTTTACAGCAGTTACTGCAGTGGTATCCGTTGCTGCATTCGTGATTTTCTGCCGTTGTAGCAGTAACTGTACATGGAGCAGTTCTATAACGCAACTGCATTCCTTGCAAAAAGTGTTTTGTCACAACTACCACATCAGGGATAAATAACTGCTACAGAGGTATTAAGTAAATGGTGTGAATAAATATTAAGGAGAAAAATAAATAGATAAAAATATACGGTGCATGTAAGGTGCAATAAGCATATAATTATACAGGGTAACCACACGATGTGATGCATAAATCATTCTTGTATGTTCATCTTAAGCTATTCTGAATGAATAATATACTGCATAATTTAATGTTATGGATAGTGTATTTAGGATACCTATCCAGGATACTTATCGTGTCGGGATATTGTATATAGGGGCTGTTGGGGCGCGTATCCAGGATACTTATCGTGTCGGGATATTGTATATAGGGGCTGTTGGGGCGCGTATCCAGGATACTTATCGTGTCGGGATATT